ATATTGCTGGAATATTACTAAAAGTGGCTTAAAGCTAAACTCACTCCCTCAGTGGTATTGATACAACTCTGTGTGTTTGGCCCATGTCACAGCCATCTTTTAAAGTCCATGGCCAGTCAATAACCATGACATACTCATACTCACACTCCTTCTGTCAAAGGATCACCCAATCCTTCTATATCATGGTAAATCTGTCAAAGGACCACCTGATGTTTCTCATTATCTTACCTTCATGTAAAAATACTTTAATTTCATTGGTCAGTGTCGCTTTAACAAGTTTCCGTGTCACCCCTCCCAGGAGGGTGACAACTGGAAAAATATTACCCGCAGCCACAGTAATTCACTGCCGAGAAGCTATATCGCTAACAATTGTATGACATCATAATATGACGCCTGCAGTGCATGGAGTTTGAAAACCGTTCTATTAGCTGGTTTCGAGTTCACTATGTACACATTTATTTTACCGACTTTCACTGCTTTATTTAAACTATTTTATACATTGAATGGTTTGCACACTCAACTTAAACATAATTAACCATTTTTATAGCAGTTTTAAGCTTGTCTGAAATCCAGTCAAGAGGCATTTTGTTTACATGTCATATGCCTACCAGCTCGGTTGACACTGCTACAAAGAGGTGTACATCAGACTGTATTACCCTCGAGAGAAGCATACAACTTATAATGACTATGACTAGTACTTTTTTTTATATCCCTGGAATTCAGTAGTGGAATTCAGACATGGGTTGTAGAACAAGAGCCAGTATCTACAATAAATGGAGTCAGTCTATGATAGAATAATCTGTCCAGACAGTGAGACAAATAACAGTCCAAATAATAAATGTGCATCCTTTTCGTGTTACATAGTACTATGGTCTACTTCAAGCTATAAATGAGGCACATTAGTCATCAAGTGGGCCTATCAAGGCTTATACAGTCAAATCCTGATGAGTCGAATGCCGGTGTCTCGAATATTATGCATAACTCGAAGTACCTGTCGCTCCCGACCATTCCCTGTTAGTAAGGTGCCCCAATAAGTGATAGGGAAATCTGCTAAGCCGCGTTGTTTTAAGAAAGTCAAATCTCTGCATGCTGCCAACTTCATACTGTCTGCCTGGATGACGTCTTGTTTATTTGTGGATTGGGTAAAATCATTAGATAAAAAAATGCTTAGGCAGAGGAATTAGGACTGAATCATCTTTTTTTTCTACCCTCATAGACATACCTATGTCTCGAATACATCGATAAGTCGAATTTATTACTTGGTCCCCAGCGATTCGACTAATCGGGATTTGACTGTATTTATATAGACACATATACTAATTCACAGAAATTTTCAATGAAATCACACCCAGCCTGTACTTTAGTCTTAGACAAGTTCTTTTCAATACAATATGGTCCTACTGGACAGTAAATTGTTTTAAATTCGTAAATCTAAACCAGTTTCTCTTTGTCATCAGGCACGCAAGAGAAGAATCTTTTTTGTTTTATTTCAGACATGTTTTTCTCATTTGGTTTTGATAATGGAAGTGTATGTTCTCAGCACAGATTTGTTATCAAAATAACCTGTCTTGAGCAATAGTGGTTCTTTATGTAATTGTCAGAGTAAACAGATTCTTTTGATGTTGGGACAATTTCTGTCTCCTTCCATGCCAAAGAAAGACATAATGTCTGAGCAAAAGCTAAAGACAAACTCACATTTGTATACACATATGTCTGTCAAAAGGTATCCAATTTGGGGTTGAAAATAATTGCCAACTCAGCACGATTGAGAAACTGGTTCAATCACTGATGGAGAGAGTCATGCAAGCTCTTCGTTTATTAACTGATTATGGACTGATTGTGTGAATCTGAATCCAGACAGACAGAGTTATAGGAGATCTAGGACTGAGATCTATCTTTAATCAAACAGAATCATATCAGGCATTGGTAGACACTCACCATCCAATCACTCACAACGTCTCAGTCATGTTGGTCACTAGTATTGAGCTGTGTGAATTCACCTCTCTTGACCAGGCTAATCATTTCCTCATATAAGAGACCTATATCTATGCCATTTAGTGATACTATCAGTTTATAGACTATTTGGGGGCTAAAACAGTAATGATTAATATTATTTTCATTTTTCTTTTATTGTACACACATTTATCACTTTGAGTTCACATTAAGTTTTATTTTAAGATTTAATTGTCAGATGCAGATATTTATCTTCAGCTTTCTGTATGGTAAGTCAAAGTGTAAAGAGAGTCAACTTCAATGGGACTTCATACATAAAACATTGAGACATCATGGCGCCATTGGAAGCAAGATAACACTTTTTCAAGATGGTACCTGGCCAGTATGCTACGTTCATTAACAAGAAATGGTAAAATGTAATACGCAACAAGATACATGTCATTTCTATTTGAACAGTAGCAAAAAGACCGAATGGCTTTTAAATGTATTTATCCAAGAAATGGTGAACCACTCTTAATACAAATGTCATATAAAGAAACAGAAAGTATTAAGAAGAGTTCCAGATAATTCATCACTTCAGACGGCAGTTGTCACAATAACTGTACGTAATTTGCTAAATTCATCTCATGAATATAAGGATGATGACTTGCTTAGTAATCAAATTTGTATCTAGGTCAATATATGCAAGACATAATTGGATGCGGCTCAAGAAGGAGAAATGGCCATGCGGTCTGAACTGACCACTTCGAGGTCAATAGAAACAGTGTTCCTATTTGTATGCTATGCAATAGGGAGATAGCTTCATTCTCTCAAGTGGAAGTGCCAGTGTAGAACAGAGTCACTCTCCAATGTATTTCTGTCAGAATAAATCAGAATCAAGCTGGTTAAGTCCTGCTGAGAAGTGATCAGTTCAGGATGAGGGTTTGTTTGACTGATGGTGCATGGCAAATGAATTGTGTTCTTGAAGTGATGACACACTACACTAGGCGAGTGTCTTAGTTACACCGTATCCTTCGTCAAAGGATTTTGGTTGGTTATTTTGTTGTTTAACGCCACATTCAGTAATATTCCTGCTATATGGTGGTGGTCTGTAAATAACCGAGTCTGGACCAGACAATCCAGTGATCCACAGCATGAGCATCAGTCTATGCAATTGGGATACGATGACATGTGTCCAACAAGTCAGCCAGCCTGACCACCCAATCCAGTTAGTTGCCTTTTACTACAAGCATGGGTTACTGAAGATCAATTCTAACCCACATCTTCATGGGTACTGCATCAAAGGAAGGGTGTAATTCACCCTTATCATGTTCATAGGTTTGTCAGGTGGTGAGGTTGCTCGTCACGCCGAAGACCAGGGGTTCGATTCCCCACATGGGTACAATGTGTGAAGCCCATTTCTGGTGTCCCCCGCTGTGATATTGCTGGAATATTGCTAAAAGCAGCGTAAAACCATACTCACTCACTCACTCATAGTTTGTCAGCACCAACAGTGTGCATTGTTACACCGAAGTTGTGAAAGTTTAAGACCTGTCTCACTCCAGGCCTTCTTCACATATAACACAAGAACAAGCCACCATATTACTGTAATAATGTTCAAAGCCAAACTCCTTCACTCACTTATCACACCATTGATAGAAAAGAAAATGTTCATCATAATTGCTGCATTATGCTTAAGGAAACATTTTGGTGTAACAAGACTGTATGCATATTTCATTTTGTTTTATTTTTAGCCTTGACATTGCCCATGTCCTATCCCTTGGCCATGACCTTGCCCATGTCCTATCCCTTGGCCATGACATTGCCCTTGCCTTACCCCTTGGCCTTGACACTGCCCTTGTCCTATCCCCCATTTGCCCATGTACTATCCTTGGCCATGATATTGCCCTTGCCTTACCCCTTGGCCTTGACATTGCTCATGTCCTATCCCTTGGCCATGACCTTGCCCTTGCCCTATTACTTGGCCTTGACATTGCTTTATAACAATAAAGTTAGTTAATACATGGTCAAATTTATGCATACTGGTGTAATTCGATCATTTAGTACTGAGTAAGTGAATGTTTTTTCAATTGGTTTCTCAAAATGGTTTGTAGTCAGCAATACTTGCTCTATCATGGTTGCCTGCTATTACAAGGACCTGAAACCAGGGAGACCAGTGGTTGACTGCATGAGCACTCACCACTCCCATGGTCACAATAGCACAGTAGTCAAAACACCCAAGTTCCAATTCTGCCTCACCAATTTAGGCAGCCACATTCATTCAGATAACGTCCTTAAAGCAACACTGTTTAAAAACATAGATTTCTATTTAGGAAGACCAAATTACCTTGCCATTCTGTATATTACCCGGAAGCCAGGCAGTAATGTTCATTACCCAAGTGTCTCCAGGGAGGCAAGATGCTGCAGTGGGATAATTATCCTAAATACTGTATGAATCTTATTTAGCACTACAAATCCTGAGCACTCTCTGGTGATTAAACCTTTCCATTCTGTGTGTGAGACACTGCAACGATAATCACAAGTCCACAAGACCACTGACAACATGGAGTAGTTGGCTCATCTGTTTCTGAGTGAGTGAGGGAGTGAGTTTAGTTTTACGTTGCTTTTAGCAATATTCTGGCAATATCATGGATAGGGACACCAGATTTGGGCACACATTGTACCCATGTGGGGAATCGAACCGGGTCTTTGGCGTGACGAGCGAATGCTTTAACCACTAGGCTACCCCACTGCCCCTCATCTGTCCTAGCAACAAAACTGTACGTATGTGTCACCTACTCTGACTGATTGTGTGACGATCATATGACGTCAATAACAACTTGTTGAGTCTCTTCTTGGTTTCAAAATAAGATCAGTTTTCACAGCATTTTGGGTTTTATATTTTTAAATTCAAGTTATGGATGTCATTGTGGATAAAAAAAAAAGATATTTATGCATGCTTGACTTTATATAAAAATAACTGTAACCTTATCTGCAGAATGGTTTTCTGCCTATGTAATGTGAGCTGTCAGGATTAATGTAAATCCTTTAATAGATGTCCTGGATTCCATGTATTTCAGTGATGATTTATGCATGGAGTCTATTCAATGCTTTCAAACCTGTATTTTTTTAACTATGGTAAATATCTGTACTTTACATAAAGAAGGGATGTGTCATTTGAATTTAACATATGGTTTTCAATCCATATGATAGCAGCTTTCGTTCAAATATGGCTTTAGTGAGTACCATAGGGGTATCCATGTTTAGACCGGCATCTATTTTTTCAAGCAGGTGTCATTTTTCCTCTGATGTAGACTTGTGTTAGTTGCTACTTACACTGCTTTCGTGCAGCTTAAAATCCAGGGGATAGATTTTCGAAGCTCTCTTAGCGCTAAGATAGTCATAAGTTAATGTTAATGTATGGCACTTACTCAAACTACCCATTCCTCATCCAAGATGGCAACTAATGAGACACGCGTCATCGTCATCGTATCCCAAATGCATAGATGGATGCTCATGCTGTTGATCACTGGATTGTCATATGGCTGGAATACTGATGAGTGCGGCGTTAAACTAAACTCACTCACTCACTCCAAGTCAAATCAGCATGAGAAATATTTCATTAAAGGTTACCTATGCTTGATTTTAGTCTAGTACTCAAACTCTCCTTGACAACAAAATGTGTGACAGTCCGATTTGGTTGCTATGTAGGTATGCCATTAATTATAAGCCGCAGGGTTGGCAGAGTATATTTGAAGAAATTGTTTGCTAAAGACATCACAGTTCTTGGACAAGGTACCTAAAATATACCGTAAGTTTCAAGCCAATGGTAGAGATATCCTACTTAAGTCCTACAGCTTTATGATTCACCTAAACAGCTTTACTTGCCAGTATATGGTGCTTAGCTGCAGCTCAGAGCAACCAATCAGGCGTTGTGTTCCAGGAATTGCCAGACCTGTAATTATATGACTTGGTATCTTGTCAAGTATGTGACTCTTATTCCTTCTATCAGATTATTCTATCAGATTATTCACTTTTACAAAAAGGATAAACCCCCAAAACACAGGAATAACTTAGCAACTTTGCAACTTTTTGGTGACAAAAATAAACTGGTGATGTCAACAGGTGTTTGAAAGCCTGATGGTGTACCAGGCTGAAATTTCAGTGTAATTCATCACCTGTGAGGGGCAGTAGGGGAGCCTAGAGGTGAAGACATTCACTCATCCCACTGATGAGCAGTGGGTTCAAGTCCTAAGATTGGGTGTGATGTGTAAAACACATTTCTGGTTTCCCACGCCATGATATTGCTGGGATATTGCTAAAACCCAGTGACATGTACATTAAGTATTCACCAATCACCCCGAAGACCCGTGTTCGATTCCTGATATGGGTACAATGTGTGAAGCCCATTTAAGAATGTCCCCAGATGTGCTGGAATATTTCTAAAAGTTGTGTAAAGCCTTATGCTTATTTCTGTATAATGTCTGTAAGTTTAAATTTAATCAGGCATATCTCAAGATGACGAATATTTTGCAAGTTCATGCTTGTCCGTGCCATATTCAACTGTAACATACCTCGATAAATATATCCTAAATATTGACATTATTATAACAACCATTCCTTAATATCGATTCATACAACACTAGGTTTCTATCGTACACGGATTAAATAAAGAAGCCATGTTTAAGACGTGTGTAGATTGCTGTCAGAGTTATTACTCCTTATTACAGCAGGCCTTGAGATATTGATAATTGCCATGTGGATCATAAAAGAACTTCCATCAGAATATTTGCTCACTGTCTCTTTGATACTTTTTACAGCACATCGTGTCCGATATATTTTACGCTGAGCTGTCTTTTGTTCCCATGATGCAGTACTCCTTCCTGTCGGTCTCGGAGGCATACCACGACACACTTGTGTTGACAGAGTCTTTGCAAAATCAATTAAGGAACACAGTCTGAGAAGTTGACAGGCTCAGGGTACGACAGCACAAGCTCCACACACTGGCCAGTAAGATGAAACCGGCTAGATACACACCTGCAGGCTATTTGGGCTTTTAATCCAAATTTGTCATGTGAGGATTGAGAGAAGCAGAGTTTATGATTTTTAAAGATGGAAGAATCTAGTCACTGATCAAAGATTCCATGAAGGCAGTGTTCAGTGTGTTGAAGAAGTGTGCTCGACAGCATGTAAAAGACCATTGCCATTGATTTTGGATCAGTATTTCGGGGACTGTGTCAAAGTTCATTTGTCATTTGAACCAGTAATGTCAGAATTTTATACATTGCCCTTGTAGCTTAGCACAAGCAAAGAAGTCCTCATTTTCGTATCTAGCTTAAAGAAATGGTTATAAAGTAGTTCAGAAAAGAATAAAATCTCTCCAAATGAATACTGTGTTGAAAGTCTTGACATGCTCCCTTCTACCCAATCACTGTAACTATTTGATAAGGTTAAGCATCATAAACCTCTGGAAGAGCCACTTGTAGACATCATATCATGCTCTTTGATAATGATTCCTCAAAGAAGTAATCCCTATTTTGTTCAGAGTTGACTGGTAAGGAATCGTCATCAACAAAAGTTACATCATGTTTATGGCTGTAACTCTCACTGTTGTTTAAATATTTTAGCCTAAAAACAAAAAACCACACATACATATGCCACTTGCTATCTAACTAAATGTATTGAGCGTGATATCAGTCTTGCTCAAAATGTTTGGGATCAAGGTAGCAAACATTCAAAACCACCATCAACCTTTGAAAAGATTAATGGCAGATATGTCAAGGACATTTCCTAAATTGGTGCATCAACATTTGATGCAATTCCCTGTTTTGACATATACCATGTGTTCCCAAATCTCAATAATTGTCTTGCCTTTGCATGTGTTTCAAACAGGTGCCACAGTGTGGGCAGAATAAGCCCACCTATTCACAAACACCTGGTATCATCACCATTTGATAGGGATCCATTAACACCAGCCCATGGTACAGTTGAAATAGTACAACTGAATCATCATCATCATCATCATCGTCGTCATGGATTTTGTAACATAAGAAAGGTGTCACAAAATTCTTGAAATAAACACACACAAAATTGAAAATTCTTCTCATATCTCTTTATAGAGCTCTTATACAGTGTACAGAATATATAGTCCAGGATACTATTTCATAGGTAGCAAAAGTAAGGAGACCCCTTTTGTTTCTTGGATTATTTTGCCTGACTGGGTGTGTTCCTCTAAAGGAAAGAAGTTGGGTAATGGTTAGAACCCATCGCAGCATCCTTGCGATGTCTGTTGCTGTTTGATCTCGTGTTGCCATAGAATGAAATCCAATTTGCATGGTTGAACAATATGTGAGAAATTTTAGAGCCACTTTGAACAAAAAATTTAGTAATGTCCCCGATTCATAGCTTTGTGGGAAGAAAGTTAAAAGTGTCAACTCTTGAGGACGTTTACCTCTGTGATGAAAATTTGCTAAGGTCATCAATGTCTTTATGTGTTTCTCATCTCGAACCTCAACCAGCAAGAGTGTGAGTGAGTGAGTTTAGTTTTATGCCACTTTTAGCAATATTCCAGCATTATCACGGCGGGGGACACCAGAAATGGGCTTCACACATTGTGCCCATGTGGGGAATCGAACCCAGGTCTTCAACATGATGAGCGAACGCTTTAACCACTAGGCTGGCCCACCACCCTAACCAGCAACAGAGTAGATGGCTGGGGAAATATATATTTGTGAAAAATAATGTTATTTTACTGATATAGATCAAGTTGTTCTGCCTCGAAAACAATTTTTTGATAAATGTAGATGAAGAATGATCAAGCTGACGTGAGAATGGAAGGGTAAGAGTACTATTTGTATCACATAAGGGCTAAAATTTCCCAAGCAGCACAGAAAATTGACATGCAAAAACTTAGTAATATTTCATGTCAAAAAGAAAACTCAGCGTGGGCAGTAGATAATAATTGCTGAAAAAATATTGACAGACTTTCAAGCTGCAAAATTTCTGCACTTGTGGGCAGAGTAAGTAAGTTTAGGTTAACAACAATGTGTTTACTTGTGAAAAAGTCAGTAAATACGCTTCGGTGTCACTGGCTGTCATTTGATGGTCAGGTCGAGCTAACTTGCTAACGAACTGCCATTGTATGGCTTGGATGTGAGGTTGGGCAACGAATACTTACTTTTGAAAGCAAATAGTGTGAATGGCAGATACTAAGGCCAAATAAAAATATTGTGGTTTACACCTCTTTAAAATTCAGGGTAGATAGGTAGGATTGTTTTATTAACAGTTTTCTAGAAGTAAAGTACAAACTAATAACACATTTATCAATGTGTAATTGTTTATTCAATCAAGCTTGCAGCCATCATGTCAACTTTTTCTATCAGAATGACCGATGTCTGTCTGTGCCGGGGAAAAAACAATGGTATCTGAATGCTTATTTTATTCATACCACTTAACAAAAATAGGGTCGGCACCAGAATTCAAGGGTTGGTCGGGTAATCGTAACCACAACAAATTTCTTTTAGGCCTAACAGTAGAGCAGGTAATCCATTTTCATCAACACCTGTTGTCATCCTTGATTTAATCTAATTTTATCATACTTTGAGAACCAGTGCAGTGCTTCAGCAGATCACCGTGAGACTGTCCTGGAAGTTTATTAAATGACCATTGGAACTCTTGTGGAAACGGGTGAAAATGAACTGTACACCCCTCAGTCTCACAGTCCCTGAACCACATTATTTTCCCTACCGCCAAGCCCCATCTGCAGTGCTAAAGCCCTAAATAAAGCAAGTCTAGATTTCCTCAGGTTCAGGATCTCTGGTCTCCCTGGGGCTCCTTTTCAATTTTAATGGGCTTGTTTGTTACCATCAAAATTTATATTTATTCAGAGACTAAGCATTAGTCTATATCCACCCCTGCTGGCATATATATTTACATGCATCATGACCCGTGAAGATCTCGGTTAAAATTGATCTTCAGTAACCCATGCTTGTCGTAAGAACTGACTAACAGGATCGGGTGGTCGGGCTTGCTGGCTTGGTTGACACATGTCATCGTATCCCAATTGCGTAGATCGATGTTCATGCTGTTGATCCCTGGCGTAAAACTAAAACTCACTCACTCACTAACTCACATTCATCGTGGTGCTGGGATTTGACCCCAGACCATGGCTTGGTTAATGTGGGGAACTGGGTGATATGTACCGCTGGTGATCACTGGACCGTTGGTGCACACTGCCACGCTATTCAAAGCCATGTCACTCACTTGCATTACCCAAAGACCCCTCGGGATTTTG